ACTGTACTTTGACTTGATCACAGCTCAGAGTTTTGATGTTATATTTTTGATTTGCTATCTCATCAAGTAATTCGATTAGAGGTTTGATGTTTTTGACACCTGCGATGAATATAGGAGGGGGTTTAGGTTCCCTGGTTTTTTGTACTGAGTCCATTTCTTCTTCTGAGAGGGCACGGTACCTGTTACTAGTTGACACTGCCTCTCCGAGCCAGTAGTCGTTCACTTCATGATCTCTCGCTCTCTTCCTGGCGCGTGGAACAGTTTGCCAGTCGTTTCCTTGTTTGGGTAGAGCTGGAAAATTGTGATTATAATACTGCATTTGGCTGGTCATTTGCACGTTCTGTTGAGGTTGACTGCAATACATGATGGGATTCTGAGAGACACCTTGTTGAGTTGCAGGAGGCTGCATGTATGATGTTGGTATCGGCATGTTTATATATGATGATGGTGTATTATGATCTGTGTAATCATTCATGTTTGATTGTGGTGAATGTATATAGTTGTTGGCGTAGGCCATGGCCGCGGCCGTGCACTTATATAGTAATATGCACTAGAAGATTGTTCCACTTTTATCAAGGATTATGGAGAATATAAACAAGATTGAACACTCCGATATATAGTTCACGTAATGATTCACTCACTATGCCCACTTAGACTTTAAGTCTACATAACTACAAACACTGCTCTTCGGAGCAACGACATATACACGTCCGCACCGCATAGGACTTCTCGTCCAACTGTCTTAAAAATATAGCCGAGAATCAAACATTCTGCGACGCAGCTAACATAGGGAACATAGCGTACGTAGCGTACGGAAGTCTGTTTGGCCAGTAACATTGGCAATAAAGGGAGATACTTTTCTGTTCGTATAGCGAACATAGCGTACGTAGCGCTCTGTGTGGCCGCACCTTAAATGTCTGGCTGTAGGATGAACGTTCGTGATTCAATTCCAAGAAGAGGCATATTTTTATCTTCGCTACCACGTCCAGACCGGCTCAGGGGTCCATTCAGCCTCCGAAGAAAGAATACATTTTGAAAATACGTACCTTTCCACCCATATTGTCTCTCTCTGAAAGACAAGTACGGTTACGGTGTTTGTTTCAGTGCATGTGTGACTTTGTTGTTGCAGACATACACTTGCCTTCACGTGTGTGCGGGTTCGACCACCAGCAGCGTGCCATGCTGCTCCCCAACAGTAAGTGTGTGGCATATCTGCTCTTGTCTTGCTGCTCCGTGTAGTGTATATACCACTGTTTTCACGGTGTATTGCCTGTGGACAGATCCCAGCCCTTGCAAAGCATGTGTACTTTGATCGCTTCCAGTGAAAGCCCTTTGTACTGCCTCAAGTGAGAAGTGTGTAGTGCAGTGTCACATTTTCATGAACAATCTGTACAGAATCCAGTACGCTTGCTTTCAGTAGTCCTGGTCGCATTGATGAGGCTGCGCTTTCAAGGCCATGAGGTAATGCAGATTAGTGAAGCTTTCAGCGATCATGAAACATGTGCAGCGGCGCGTTGAACATGCGGGAGCACAATGAAGTGTAACTGTGGAGTGTAATTGCAAGGGGAGAACACATGAGTAGTGGAGTGCTAAGATGAATTTCCTGTAGCCATTCCAGTTTAGTCGAAGACTTGCGCTTCCTGAAACGGCCTGATTTTAATTAGTGGGATTTAAGGGAGTTTCGGTGAATTTGTTNTAGTCTGTTAACACCTGCTCACGCTGGTTCCTCGCTTGCGGATGTTCTTATTTTCTCTTGTTCCCTGAAGATGGAGGCGATACGTTCCACCGAAACGTCGGTTCACACAATATCTACATGGCGCCATATCCCAGAAGACTGCTTTCTTCATAGTCACCGCCGTGAAACCTCAAATCTTACATATTGTTTGTATGAGTTGCCTTTATATTAATAGACCTTTCACACAAAAAGTGCTGAGATGGGTCCTCCGGCCAAAAGTAATTCCTTTTGTGGGGTAGGAACCAAGAAAGCAAGAAAGATCTTTAATGTATTTACACGATTTCTTTTTATTTGTAGGCCCACAAATAAAAATGTTATATAAGTATATCCGGGAGGTTTCTCTCTTTCTTGGTTATCCCATAGAAGGAACTGATTATGTACATTTGTAGGATTTTAGGCCGTAAGCAATGGAAATATGAAGTAAGCGGTACCAACGTAGATAATTAATTACATTAATGTCAATGCCTGTGAAGTAAGGAAGTTCCGATGAGGATCGCCTTTAATTTCCATTCATTCATAAATCTTTCCTGACGACAGCATTGAAATCGGAGGCACTGATTTGAAAAGGGATATGCTTTATTGGATGTCGCCGGGGAGTAATGACAGTTAGAAATCAGTGATACCAATGTGCAGCGTGGGCTCAGTTTATGGGAGGTACAGGTGTCAGGTTTGAAGTGGTCGAGCTGTTGATCGTCTGAGGAACCTAGCGGGTTCGTATAGCGATAACGGCGGTGTACAGTCGGGAGGTACAGGAACACCGACCAGACTGAGGTTTTAGGCTGTTTTCCTCAGTCCCTCCAACCAAGTGCTGGGGTATTGCGTCTATTAGGCCATGGCCATTTTCTTCAACATCCTTTTTAGCTCATCATTCATCAGTCTTTCGAGTGTGCAACGCTGCAGAGTGTAGATCAGGTTCAAAAACTCCCCTCCAGGGAGGCAGGGTGAAAGCCCGGGACACGAGGCCGTGAATTCAGCAGGAATACTGGAATTTGTAATGAAGATATTTAGGCAAGCTGAGCGGTTAGATTTCAGCACCTGTCGGCATCAGTCGTCGCCAAGTGAAGAGCACCGCGCAAGATTTTCATATTAACTTTGTGAATATTTATTCCCATTTTGGCACGGAACCGAAGACCGGTTGGTAGATCATGATCAGTGCAGTGAGTTACATATATGTCGTAAAACGAGGGGTGTGAGAGTTTGGCGAAAACCGTAGAAGGGGGAGGGAACATATTAGAGGGTTTGAGATACCGACACCGCCCTAACATAACACAAACCACCATCACCCAGAGCATCGTAAAATCAACCAAGACCGTCCTCTGTGGCGCACACAGTATGCAGATAAATCTGACTAAAAAAATCTGTGAAGTGAGATTACATTGTCAGAATGCGAAGGGCCAACGTAACATGCATGGTCTGTAGATTGTATATGTTTTTCTTTGTGAGTGTAACAATTCTTGCATTGTGCTTGAAAGAGCTACGTTGCCTTGCAAATCTGCATGTCTTATGTGTTACGTGGTATGAAACCACGTACGAAAGTGTGTGTTCGTGTGTTATGACGAAAGCGTTCATGTTTCTGCCAAGTTCATATTACTTGTTATTGCATGTTTCGCCGATTTTCTATTGGCTGATGCGTTTTTTGCAAAACGTATATTAAACGAACCCTTCCTGGGAAGGGTGTGACTAACCTTCCTTCCGTCACTATCTAGAAGGTAAAGTTATACCTGTAACAGACCGTGAAGGCCCATAGGTTTGTGAGACGTCAAGGCTCCCACATTTTCTTCAGCCAGTCGGTTCACAGATGGCGGTGAGGTTGTCAGCCATATACGCCGGCCCACTTCTGCCTCTCGACGAAAATTCCTGATACTCATTTCTGTTAGAGGCCGAGTCGGCCCAAGGGCCATAGTGCGGCTGGAAGGATTAGGTCAAAAGCCGGAAGTTAGTTTGGATATGCGAAGGGTGTTTCCCCGCAGTAAACTGGAAGTAGTTACGGGTTTGGCCGCCAAGTGGCAGCCCATTCTCGAATTTGCGGGGGGATTTCCGTTGCTTATAGCGTGTATGTTTATTGCACCGCGATTTAATCTATAAGAGCGGATCAGTAGAATGGAAATTGTTTACTTCTAAGGCAATTTGAAAATATAGGCATAGATGGGAGGATAATATTTAAATGTATCTTAAGAAATAGAGTGGGGGTTTGTGAAGTAGATTTATTTGGTGCAGGATAGGGTCCAGCAGTGGGCTCCTGTGAACATGATACTGACCCTTCAGATTCCGTAATAGGCTTACAATTTCTTGACTACCTGAGCGACTCCTGCCTTCTCAAGACATTGAGTTAGCATGTAAATTGGGGCCGCGCCATAGCTCAAGCGGTTAGTCGCTGGCTTCCCACCACGGCGGCCCGGGTTCGATCCCGGGTCTGGCCAAGTGGGATTTGTTGTGGACAAAGTGGCGCTGGGGCAGGTTTTCTCCGAGTACTTCGGTTTCCCCTGCCAATCTTCATTCCACCAATTGCTCCACAATCACCCTCACCTATCATCTGGGGCTGGTACAATAGGCCAGAAGTTGCTGCAGTACAAGGGACTTAGTCCCACCCCACTAGCAATAAAAAGACATAGCATATAAATTAGCAGTTATATAGGAGCGATACGGTCTGTGTAACTTTAGCTTGGGGGCCCGGTAACAAGTTTCAACTGTTCCTGCGTATTAATTACATCTGGAATTAAACTGTGTTGCAGAGAGTTTGCCGTGAAATTTGATTCCACTAGCACGGAACGTAATTTGAATTATACATGATCTTGATTGCAGGCTGAGCTGCGCTGCAGAGATGGTGAAAGTAAAGGATTTTAAAATACTAGAAACGTTAAAATAATCGCCTGGCAACGTTTATAAATGCAACTACGAGTATGTAACATTTAACTTCTGGCCGGCCGGACATAAGGGTATTGACACTTGTAGAGTTTTGTGCATGCATTCGAGGAACTTTTGCCTCCATCTCCAGGTTGCCTTTAACACCGAGTAAGATGGCCAAAGTGGTAACAGTTCTGATTTGTATTCGGGAGCACCTGGTTCGAATCTCGACCAGGATACCGATTGTCCCGACTAAGATTTATCATAGTTTTATTCCGTTGCTCCATGCAAATATCGTTTCGTGTAGGTACTCATCTCGTCCACTACGAAAAGCCTGGTATTTCAGTGGCGGGGGGTAGAGATAAATTTCTACTAGTCCAGTTGTCTTTTGAATGATCACTTAAGGGCGGCCGCACACCACCTGCGCCAAGATAAGCATCAAGACATGAGACAAAAGACGCAGTCTTGCTTCATTCGTGATTCGTCAGCATCACGACTCAGACCAGCGTGCGGCGGTTTTCATGATCTCTTTCGTTTCAACTGTGATCCTTTCTTTGCGTCATGTCGCACACATCGTGTCTTGACTGCTACACGTCTTGACACATGCCGGTGTGCGGCCTGCCTAACAGTTACATGGCGTGACGGACGGAATTATGGCTGCAGCAATGTAGGAATAGTATAACTACGGGAAAATGTATGTAGTCACTGCGCTGCTATTCTTTAGGAATATAAATCATGCGCACCAGGAGGGGCCCGACCCGATGCATCGTTTCCATGTTCTCGTATAGAGTCGGTTTCACGTTATTTTGTTGCATATGGACAGGAAATACTTTGTTATTTTTCGGCAGCTGTTAGACATACCGAGTCAGCGCCATCAAATCTTCTCGTGGAGCCTATAGTTGCTCACGTAGTCAAGAGATTCCCAGTATTTTATGGAACCCGACGGTTCCTTGCCGTGTTCACAAGAGACATCCAGTGGTCCCACAGCGAACTAAATTTCCAGACTTGTATAATTTGTCATAATGGCAGTTTGCTTAGAAGTAGTCGCAGTTCGTGTTTGTACGAGCGCCTGAAGCAAAGAGGATATTGTGTTTGTGAGCGTCATGCATGTGTGGGCCTGTATAAGTACTTGTACTACGTAATGAGGTAAGATTTTTTTTCTGAGAAGACACTTAACAAGGCAGTCATCTGTCAGAATGTCTGCAGGAGGTGACAAAAAAACTTCTTCTGAAACAAACCTTATTGTATGCCAGCTTTTATTTGTACTTGCCGATGTACACTGTGGAGGTTACGTAAGTTATTTGTATAATATTTGAACAAGATGTATTGTAAACAAGTCGACAGGAATTCTTGCTCGCGATTGTGATGCGTCTCTGAATAGTAGGCCTGTATTTCATAGGTAACCATAGGGTGCAACGTTTAGTAACTGCAGTTTGCGTTAATGTTGACGTAAGCGAATGCTGCTCTGTAGACTTCAGAACTTTTAATACCACTTCCGGTCTCCAGAAGAGTTGTATGGGTGAGTACTGAAATCTCATCTGTTTATTCGAATTAAGATTTGACTGGACGTAAATCATGCCGAGAGCCGTGCTGTACGTCAGACAGACTCAAGAAACTCTCCGTATTGCCTTGCTTTAGACTTAGACCAAAAATCGGGGAGGTGGTGCAACAGATTCAGTAGGATAGTCGTTCTGTATGTGTTTTTATAATATCCATGGAGCTGAAAACATACGCAGAGTTCGCTGTGGTCAGAATTCGTTCATCCTAGAACCTGTGGTGGAAAAGTTACCGTATTACTGTTATTTTATGTTGTTGATTTTATAGTTAATAGCCCATTGCAGATGTAACGTCTTTATATATTGTCACATGGATGTCTGTAAACCTAGTTGTTGTCATGAAATCAGTAACTGTGAAGTAACATCTCAATTTCATCCATTTATTTAAGAGTCTTGTAGTCTCCACGTTTTATCTCCACGCATCATTTAAACCATTTCTGCTTTCCTTTATCTGGCCACTCTGCGGTCGACGTGTTTGGGGGACGGGAACACAGAACGAGAAGCACTGAAACCGATGCTCACCAGCTCGGAAAGTCACTTCGCTTTAGGCGAAATGATGTATTTCAGGTCCTAATCATTAAGTGTGAGCGGACAAATATTCGGTATAAGAACTGGGATAGATGTTCGGTTCGCGATATGCACATGGCTCTCCACCTACCCTACGTGTATGACTGTATAACAGAATTATACAGGCAACAAGCGGAAGTCATTCTGAATCATTGAAATGAAAATGTTCGCAGTATTGGACAAAGCGAAGCCCGAAGTAGAGAGCATAAGAGGCTTAAACTTGGCGGCGGTCAGGCGTTGTAGCGGAAGCTACTAGAAATAGGGCATAATCAGCTGTAGTGAGCCAGGACTGACAGAGGCCTTTTGCATGTACATACATTATTAACATGTATAACATGTAAAATGTAAAAATATTGTACACTATTATTTTTTATTGCTAGTGGTGTGGGACTAAGTCCCTTGTACTGCGGCCACTTCTGGTCTACTGTACCAGCCCCAGATGATAGGTGAGGGTGATTGTGGAGCAATTGGTGGAATGAAGATTAGCAGGGGAAACCGAAGTACTCGGAGAAAACCTGCCCCAGCGCCACTTTGTCCACCACAAATCCCACTTGACCAGAGCCGGGATCGAACCCGGGCCGCCGCGGTGAGAAGCCAGCGACTAACCGCATGAGCTATGGCGCGGCCTATATTGTACACTATGACAAATGACTTATTACTGCAGACATTGACTGTGACAAAAAAGAAACACGCCCTCTCGTCAAAGAGGGCGCCCCACAATGGCAAGACAGTAACTAATATCTGGTCACAAGCCATAAATTTAGCACGACACCAAGACTGACTGACTGACTGACTGGATTTGGACTTGACCCACGGAGTTCAGTCCGTATGAATGCGCCATGCAGGCCGGCGATTGTGTTTTCTTTCCATATGTAGTGCATTCGCAAACTACACGTAATACGGGCGTTCTACATCTGAGCCTTTGGATTCACCTAGTTTCTGCGTAAGCAGCGCTGGTACCGAGTTAAGTTTCATTATTTGCGGTAACGGTCAAAATGCACTGTCACTGTAAATGTTCCATAGACTTTTCTTTATTTATAGCCGTACTAAATCGGCATGTCAGATTTACCCACAGGACTTGCTAATTCCAAAAGTGAAGTAATCATTCATTTATAATCATTGTATTAAAGCACATTGGCCAATAATGGTTTCCAGCTTTGATTTTAAGTTTCTCCTGCAGTTGTATGCCTGTACAGAACAGGAAAAGTAACACAGCCATACAAAAAAATAACATGAACGGAAAGTGTTTTCAGTTGCTCCTTATTAATATTAAGGAACACCGTCTTTTCACGAGGCTAGTACTCGTAGACGTATGTACTGTTTTCCTCAGTTGTTTATGAGTAGTGTTCATTATTAAAACTGCAGAGTGAAGACTTGAAAAATTCAGGCCGTTAATAGTGTGACATGGGGCCTGAAAGGCGAAATAATGGAGTCAGAGTAGACGTTCATTGCTAGACAGCAGCTCAGTAAACGAATAATCAACAATCCCGGAAGACTGCTTTCTTCAATCAAAATACTGTTGGGCTATAACGATGGAAACGGTGTTTTCTGTTGGGTCCGCCCAGAGGCTTTGTAAAGAGGGTCCCAGGCCAGCTGAGAATAATAATTGAGAGAGTCTCTTGAGAACCGACAGTGCAGTTATGAAGAAAAGAACCAGTCTGTGAATAGACTGTACGAGTAGTATACAGTTATATTTGGAACGTGAAACTGTTATATAGTTCCCGTGTTAAAATTCATTTCCAAGGAAACGGATAGTGGAGATTGTAATAGATTGAAGGCAGTAGTGTGTGTAATAGTGAACTGTAAAGTATGGAAGTAGTGTTATAGTTGTTTGTAGTACGAGCTGTAAGTTGTCAATAAAGCCAATAATCCAAAACCCAGTCTGTAGTCACACCCCTGAAATCGTGACAGTATAAACGGATCAACTGTTATGAGGTGAAGTTCAGATAAGTTTTACGCAGAATACTCGTCGTCCATTTGTTCTGCTCTTCAGAGATACATCTTTTCATTGAGTTTTCGGTATTAGCATATTCTATGTATATCACAGTCCGTCAATAATGAAACAGTTGTTCCTTTTTTTATTCCTCCAATTTCACGATCGTGAAATTTGAGGAATAAAAAAGAGAACAATTGTTGCATTATTGACGGACTGTGATAGACACAGACGTTAATTAAAGATTTGCAACAGGATGCTGAAATACAGAATTAGCATACTCTGTTTTGTATTTAGTGACCACATTGTTTCGTTAGTTTAAGAGTCTCATTTTTGAAATGTTGACCGCTGTACATTGAAGTTCGCATTTCGCCTGTGAAATATGCTCGTTTTCACGTTGCTTGCCTCAGCGCTTGTGCTTTAAGTAAGATCCCCATTTCACAGCCACTGAATTTATGTTGCTACCAAGTTTAATGGAGCCGTCCCGACACAGATAACGAAAATAATAAGCCCTTACACATATATTTAAAACGGATAAATTGATACTGTATATCTTGGGAAACGGCAGCTGGGATATCGTAGTCGGTGTAGCGACTGGCTACGGGCTGGACGACTGAGGGGTCGGAGTTCGAGTTTCATGGAGTCAAGAATTTTGTCTTGTCCACGTCGTCCATACCGGCTCTGGGGTTCACCTAACCTCCTATCCAATGGGTACCGGAGGCTCTTTCACCGGGGGTAAAGCGGCCGGGGCGTGAAGCTGACCATTCATGTCCGCCTATTGCTGAGGTCAGAATGTGGATCTATACATCCACTTCCCCATACTCCTTCATGGCGTAGTGCTTAATTCGTTAAGCACATGTGAACTTTACCTTCTTACCTTTATGGGGAAATTCATATCGACCAGGGTTCAGCCTTACCGATAGGTAGCTATTTCTTGGGTGCTTAAGTTGCTCTTCATTTATTCGAAGGAACGGAACAACCAGACCTCCATCCTTTGCAAGAAAATTAGAGAGAGATTTCCTGTTTATTAGGGAAAACGAAATAAATACCACCATCGTAATGCAGATAAAAGCATCGCAATGCTCAAGACTGAATTTAATTAGAAATTTGAGCCATTTGAAAAACTGTAAATCGCGAAGATAGTACAGAATTTCATACCAATTGACGTCTCCAGTATCAACAAGGCGCAGTATTTCATTTACACGCTTTCTATGCAGATGGTTATATAAAACCGAGTTCTTGTTTCAGGCGAGCCGGCATGTGGGCGACCTGTTCGAAGACTTACGGGATGGACACAACCTCATCTCCCTCCTCGAAGTGCTGTCAGGAGAACATCTGGTGAGTTGAACTTCATTTGTAACACATTTCTTGCTCCTAAATACGTAAGTTCACGGGTCGCCATGTTTGGAGCAGAGGACTTCTGGAGAATTTGTTAGGACAACGCGGCTGATAAAGGAATTTCCGAGGCGCTTTGTGACGTTTCGTAACACGTTAGTTTATATACGTGGTACAGTCATTAATTTCGTGGAATGTGGTTTTAGCGCATCATATTACAAGGTATTCACATACACTTACGCAGATCACATCGGCCCCCAAAATAGTTGCCGTTGGCCGCTATGCAAGTCTGCCAACGTTGATATAACTGTCGAAAACATTGCTGAAACATATTGGCAGTAAATTCCCGTACGACGCTTTGCGGCTATTCCACGAACTTATTGACTGTGGTAGTATATATATATATATATATAACGGAAAGAGTTCTTAGACATTGAACTTCCAGTTTAGTGGTTGGACGAGGGCTGCAACCACTCACCGTAAACGTGGAAAGTAGCACGTTACGAAATGTGGCTGCTTATCCAGCATATCCCATCTACCTTCCATTCTTGTAGACTCTCTCCTCCAGCGTCAGTTTAGGATTCGGGACCACATGGTTACTTCTGAGGGATTTAATCCTATATCAATTTTCTCGAATCCGACACCGCGATTAACTGCTGATTTTCCCTCTACACTTCCCTCTTTATCATGGTGAGACCCGTGTTCTGTTGATCTGCGAAGACTTCACTTTGTTTTCTTCCCGTTCCAGCGAATTTTGTACAACAGAATCCACATCCTTGTGATAAGTCCCTGCTGAACCTTTTCTTCGATTTCCTTTCGATGTAAATCTTTTAACAACATTCAGTTTCCACCCTACAGTGAAGAGCGCTATTTGCACCCTATTTCCGCCCCATTCTGTATGTATCAGACGACAGCTGCTCTCAAGCCTTCCCAGCAATAAACTACGAGTATTTCAAGTGTGTAGACTAGCGTCTGTCAACAAGGAATGGAAGTTTCCCCCAACAACATAATCACTCGTTGGTAAGCACTATGTTAGTGCGTTTTCACGCAATGGTGACAATGGTGTGTAATGGTCCTACTGCCAGAGTTCATGGTAAAAGCGAGAGAAACGTGCGGAACGGATTAATATAGTGGTAATCGCTCTAGACTCGTATTCGAGGGAGGTACTTGGTTCTAATCTCAGTTACATTAGCACTGCCCCGATTGTCCCAGTCTCGCCACGCGAAATCCGGGTTCATAATCAGGTCATCATTTCGTTTAATTTAGTTTGGTTATTTATCGAAAGTGTCAGCGTCGAGACCCTACGGTACCGGATAGTGGGATGATTGCTGAACGCAGAGCACTTGGTGGTGGAGTGAATGTTGACGGGGAAACCGAAGTATTCGTAGAAAACCAATGCCACTTGTCCACCACAAATCCCACATGACCGCACCTAGTATCGAGCACCCCATTTCATTCAGCTGAAATCGCGCTTAAGCTGAGTTGTGGTACTGACTAGCGTAAACCGTTGACCCACTAGTTTCACCAGTGTTCACAGCCGTGGGATTCGTTGCGCTGACCACGCCACACCCTCTATCCGCTAAAGTTGGCACTAACTTCGCCGACAAGCGGCGGTCGCTCGGTCGGTATAGTTCGCTTGCGGACTACAGGCCACGGAGTTTGTTTTTTGTTTGTTACCTGCAGACGGCCAGGTAGTGAGATATCAGTGGCATTTTCTTTTGGGTTTATTATTTCACGGCACTTTCAGGATGGAGCCACTGGCAAAGAAAGCGTGACAAGCTGCTCGTTGACGTATTTAGCGATACGCAACGAAAATAATACGCCATTGGATTTGAGGTTCTGAGAGCGGTTACTATAAAGTGTACTATCTTGTGGAATATACGTATCTTAGCATTTACTGGGCTGCACGGCATCGCCAGATGGTGCTTTCCAATATAATGCATTTATGTATTCCAAATTTACTGTATCCACAATAAACTGTTGTATTGCTCGGCGTCAGATTTCTAGCAGCGATTTTTGCCACAAGAATTTAGTATACACGTAAATGAAGCGGGGAACCGAACAAGTTAGCCTAGATGTAAACTTGCAGCAACTGCGGTCCACACCGACCACTCGGCTGTCATATCATTCCCTTAGCCGTAAAGAGCATGCAGCTGCTCCCCCCCCCCGGAAAGGATTACGGTTAACATTGCCATAAACACTTTCTTCTGCCCATGAATTTAAAGCATTTTTAGAAGATGATTTACCACAGTTTTTTTAAATTTAAATGATTTTGCTTATTACATATTATTCAATGCTTTGGATTATCTGGTCGTGTGCCACAGACGCGACTGCTCAACGGACCACAGTTTGAGATATTTTGCTCTAGACTTATATTCGGGAGGTAGTCGGTCCGAATCTGGGGCAAGACACCCGCTATTCCGACTGAGGCTTTTGGTGATTTTCTTCAGCCTCTCCGGACATATTCTTGGTTATTATCTTAATTAGAGCACAGCCGCTTCCTTCCAGATCCTTTCCATTTCATGACTCGGCCAACCATCCGACACTGTATGGTCTCTATGCTGAAAGCGTCGTTAAATAAACCACGAAAAGTAAAATATGGAGAAAGCGAAGCAGTTGATTTGTGTCTGTCGTAAATGAACATGTAGACCACGCGTCTGGAAGATGTGTACACCTCTGTAGCCCTCATATGTTATACGTGTACTTTCAAGGGCGTCTTTAATTTATGGCCATGGAGAGCCGTGCGCATGCCCTTGTATTGTACCTATACTAAAAATATATATATATATATATACATACGTTTACCACAGCGAAGAATGTATCACAAATCTTAAACATTAATGAGATATACTGAATGCCAGGTTCCATCTCGAGCCCGATCTGAGCTTCACGTGAAGTAGAGGTTATGTTGGATAGATATTAATTATCCTTAAATTCTTCCCACGAGTGTTGTAGTAAGACCACGAAGACCAAAGTTTATTAAATTTGCATTCGGCGATTTCGATGGCCACGACTTCTTCTGCAGGAATGAATTGATTTATTGAAAAAAGAAAACGTATTAAGATGCTCTCAGCAGTTTTTGTCATCTCCATTTCACCAGGAGAAGGCCTGGGAGACGGACGACCCGAAAACATTCATAGCCGCTTTGTGTACAACTGTCCGTCTTCCTGCTTGGTTTTGAACCTCATTTACTTATATATTCAGGCAGCGCCATAGCTCAAGCGGTTAGTCGCTGGCTTCCCACCGCGGCGGCTCGGGTTCGATCCCGGGTCTGATCAAGTGGGATTTGTGGTGGACAAAGTGACGCTGGGGCAGGTTTTCTCCGAGTACTTCGGTTTCCTCTGCCAATCTTCATTCTACCAATTGCTCCACAGTCACCCTCACCTATCATCTGGGGCTGGTACAATACGCCAGAAGTGGCCGCAATATAAGGGACTTAGTCCCACCCCACTAGCAATAAAAAAAATAGTCTCACCCCACTACCAATTAAAAACTACTTATTTATTTATTCTTGGCTTATTTAATGACACTTTTAATTGCTGAAATTGAATAGCGTCAACTGATAGGTCGATCAGTGAATAAGTAATTGGAAAGATAGCAAGCATGATCCAGTTTATGATATCCCGGCATTTGCCTGGAGGGACTGAGGAAATCCACGAATGGTCACAGCCGAGATATCCAGTATCTGGGCCAAGATTCGGAACTGGGGCCTCCTGAATACGAAGTGTGTGGTTTTGAATCTCGAAGCTAGTATTAATGACGAAAATGTTAAGTGTCATTTCTTGTGTTGAATATCACATTAAATACGATTGTGTATTTAGACGAAAGCTAGTAATCAGGTTCCGGTTGACTGATGTTGATTTTCCTCCACGTGCTTTCTCAAAACCTTGTGGACCCGTCATGGCGAAACCCAGCGCGTAATATAGTGCCGCAAATTATGAAGAAATTATATGTTACAGTATGTACCAGACTTTGCGGGCTCCTGCTACATGCCTCCTACTCAGTTGGCTCTCTTACAGATTTGGTTCGTTTTATCTGCGTGGGTCGTAGTGACACCTATCCGCATACGCAGTTCCGTCGCCAGTTTGTTCCAAGGACCCGAAGGTTCACAAAGCCCGCGAATGGACTGTCGTGAACAAATTGAATCTGGTAGTTCACATATTCATAGCCTGTTTTTCAACGATTCAATTACACCTAGATCTCTTCCCTTGAGATTTTCCGACCGAAGTTATATATGTGTGCTTCGACCCCATTCTTGCTGCATGCCTCTGTGGTCTCGTGATCAGAGTTCCAGGCTACAGATCCAGAGGTCGGGGTTCCATTCCCAGCGGTACCAGATTTTCTGAGAAGTAGTGGGTCGGGAACGGGGCCCTCTCAGCCTCGTGAGGATAATTGAGGAGCTGTTTCAAGGTAATAGCGGCTCCGGTCTAGAAAACCGAAATTAACGGCCGTGGGGATTCGTTGCGCTGACCACGCGACATCCTCCATGCGCTAAAGTTGGCACTAACTTCGCCGACAAGTGGTGATCGCTCGGTTGGTATAGTTCGCGTGTGGACTAAAACCGCGGAGTTTGAGTTTTGTTTGATTCTTGTTACATGTCCTACTCGCGCCATCTTCTGTGATTTAAACACCCATCCATTACGTCTTCATTTTAAGACAGTGCGGTAGAGCAAGAGCATCTCGAAATTGACGTCTTTGCTTCATGAACTCGGCCCGCATACATATATGGGAGTGGAGCAGATGGTTCCGATAGACACGATAGTCATACAGTAGTAACCTTTGTGCAAAACGTTATTTCGCCCCGCGAATACTTATTCAACCTTTCCTTCAAGTGCTCTCATCTGCCTTGGGAGATCATAATGAATTACAGGTTAGTGAGTGTAAAACATCGTGAATATTTTCGGCTCGGATAAATTTTCACTCGTTTGACGGTTGACAGAACCAGCAAGTAACTCGCAGTTGCCATGTTTCTGATTATCAGAACGTACAGAAATGTTTCGTAT